GAGAGGGGGGGGCGCTATATATATATATATATATATATATATATATATATATATATATATATATATATATATATATATATATATATATATATATATATATATATTTATATATATAACATTGATGGTGGAGTCGACAAGCTTCCTTCCCCCAACTTGACATTTCTTTCTCTTCATTTAATACCACTTGCATAATAAATGGCCAATACAAAACTAATGGGAGATTCATCCACAGTGACACTTGTTATCATCACATATATCTTTAATAATAGTCAAATAGATGAGCATTTTGAGGCCTTCAAATTAAAATTTATATTCATAGTTTAATAACAAATTAACTCATTCATGTGCATCTTTCAAAGAAATTAGAAATTGACATGGATTATTACGTAATATTGGTGGCATTTTTTGCAGTATAAAATTCATCATAAATTCCAAGTATAAGTTAGTCAGTCGAAGACGAGCACGTGACTGATCCAAATATAGGGGTCCCACTTGACGAGGAGTGCTCTCATATGTAATCGTGTACAAGGGTAGAATATGGGTTCCGACGGGGCAGCGTGTGGGACACGAACCGGTTCGATTTTTTCGGTTCATCGAACCGCCCGGTTCAAAGAATGCAGCGTGTGATTGTTGACCGACGAAAGGGCAATTCTTACGCGACTAACGTGGACCCCGCGTCAGGTTGCCAATTCCGTGCGAGATGGCACGATTGGGTGGGTTCACACAGGTAGCGCGTGGGACGAACGTATGCCGTGGTACGCTTTCGTGGACTCATCGAACCGTCCCGGTCAATTGTTCGGCTTAGCTCGACCGGGTTCCGCGTTTCTTCGCGATCGCGAAGTCGACTATATATTTCCCCATCCCATCGCCATCCCCGCATTCCGTCTCTCCACGTGCCTTCGGAGCTCCTCTCTCTCTCCCGGCCCGATCTGGTAGCTTTCTTCTCGGGTTTCTGTCTCGCCCCGATCGTTTTGCGATAGTCGATTTAATTTCTCCTCCCGATCGTTCCAGAGACGACGTCGGCGGTCGAAGGTGAAGTGGTGTCGGCTGGTGGCCTGGTTGAGTGTGCTAACCTGCGCCGTGGGTCCTTGGAGGTCCCTCTTGCGTTTCTTTGTCTCTCTGGTCGAATTTCGAGGTGTGTTCCATTCCCCGGTTTTTTGTTCGGTCATCAAGATCGGATCCTTTTTTTTTTCTTTTCTTTTAATTTTTCCGCATAAACATTCCCACTCTCTGTGCTTGCATGTAGATTAACCCAAGATGTCTGATCTTCTTCTTGGATGAGCATAGTTTGTAGTCATTTTGAAATCGGTTGATTGGACTGAGTAGTGCCTTCTTGGATAAGCAGAATTTTAAGGCCGCACAACACCTTTTCGATGGAAGTTAGTGGTATTTATTTCTTGTTGGAAGTAAAGTTGTGTATGAGAATGGAATTTATATGGTCGATGAGTAGTGTCGTCCTGTGGGAGCAGTGTCGGGTGTCATAGCACAATTCATTTGGTCGAAGAGTTTTCCTGAGGCAATTGTACGAAAAATAGCACAAAGTTGAAGATGTGAGAGAATTCCTGAGGATCTCACAATGACTACCTTGTCCTTCCAAAGAATATTCAGTTTTTTTACAACCATGTTTGCCTTTCCATTTTATTGTTATACCTTTTAGAGTTTTATCTTCATGTCAGTCATCTGATCTCTTAGGTCATTCCCCACTGCAGGCTTTTATTTTTCTGTTGATCCCATCACAAGCTGTAACTGAAATAAGGACACTTGACTTGTTGGTGCATAGTAAGTTTTATCTCTTTATTTAACACAAAGGAAGCCTGTTATTGTAGTGGTATTATTTGATGCTTCAGTAATGGATTGTCAATTGAGATGGTGAGCATTTGGACCCAAGTCAAGGAAAGATGTGCTGGACAAAGAGCAACGGCTGTTTTAACTCGCAAATTATGTCAGACAAAATTCTATAGAACCTAAATCAAGTTTTAAGTGTGATGGATAAAACAATCCACCAATTCAGTCCAACAAAAGCTGATTCAGTCCAATTAAAAGCTGGTTCAGACTTTTTTAACTGGTCCACAAGACTAACTTGTTACACAACTTAATATTCTGACAAAACAAGAAATATCAGCCAAAATGGTAGTTTTTTGGGCCAAAATCCTATATCCATAGTAGGAATATGGTTCCTTTTCATATTACGTGACCGATCAAACTAACAAATCATTATTCGTCTCCTTCGATATATTCCTAATTTTGATTTCTGCTTGTGTTAGGTTTGATATAATATCTATTCTCAATCATGTGTTTATTTTTGCAGGGAATTTTTTGTTTGACAAAAGACAAGATCAGCAAAGAGAGAAATTGGTGGTTTAGGAATACACTATGAGTTGTTTCTCTTTCGTATTTCAAAGGACAAGTTGTTCAGGGGAACAAAGGAATCAACTTTATGAAGGTTAGACATGTCACACCGAGGTCTAAATAAAGTTAATTTTGTTTTCAGTGTTTGAGGTAAATTAGGATTCACTTGTTTCGAGCGCATGTCATAGGTTGCATCCAGTAAGTTCTTTCCACCCTCAATGGGTGCTGATTATGTTAATCTTTTCCAGATATTCCGGGAATCAGAAACATTAAAATCTACACATATAAGGAATTGAAAAATGCAACTGGTGATTTCAGCCTTGCCAATAAGGTTGGTGAGGGAGGTTTTGGTTCTGTCTACAAGGTAAATTCTGCAGACTTTTAATTAACCAATGCTATTTAATTTTGGAAGTTTTCCTAATGATTAGCTATTTTTGAATTAATTGGTTTAGGGAAGGCTTAAAGATGGGAAAATTGTTGCTGTGAAGGTGCTATCCTCTGAGTCAAGACAAGGAGCACGAGAGTTTTTGACTGAAATGACTGTGATCTCTGATGTTGTGCATGAGAATCTTGTTAGTCTGTATGGTTGCTGTGTTGAAGGAACTCACAGGATACTCGTTTACAATTATCTCGAGAATAATAGCCTTGCTCAAACCCTTCTTGGTATTCTAATTTCTTTCTAGTGCTTCGATGCCTGATTCATTATTTATAAGTACTGTTGATGCTGTCAGATTATATCTTAAAGTTCTTGCTTACTTGCAGGTTCTGGCCACAGTACTATCAAATTCAACTGGAGAACACGGGTAAGAATCTGCATTGGCGTTGCTCGTGGGCTTGCCTTCCTACACGAGGAAGTCCAGCCTCGTATAGTTCACAGGGACATTAAGGCCAGCAATATTCTTCTTGATAAGGATCTTACACCCAAGATTTCTGATTTTGGTTTAGCAAGGTTTCTGCCACCAAATACTACCCATGTCAGCACTCGAGTAGCTGGAACAATGTAATTCCACTGTTTAATTTTCTAGCTTCTAATCGATATTATTCTCTCAGTTACACAGTAACAACTTTGCATTTGACTTGATACTGCTTTTTGTGCTCCGTGGCCTTGACTTGTTCACTCTGGAACATGGAATTGCAGTTTGATGCAAAAAAATATAGAATCCAGTTACACCTCAGGCCAAATTGGTTATCTAATTCCTTTTAAATTGTTCGCTTTATATTTTATGCAGCGGTTACTTGGCTCCTGAATATGCAATTAGAGGGCAAGTTACACGGAAGTCTGATGTGTACAGCTTTGGCGTGCTTCTACTAGAAATAGTCACTGGCCGGTGTAACACAAACACAAGATTACCATATGAGGATCAATTTCTACTTGAGAGGGTAAGAAAATATAATTAGACATGGATGTAGTTTTCTATCTTTCCATTTGAATCTGAAATATTTGGTTATAAGCAAGATTTATTTTGTTCATGTCAGTCGACATTTTTGCTGGAATGCTTTTTTACTTGTGTCCATTGGTCTAGTATATAACCAAAATGTTGCGTATGGTCATTGTTGTTGATGGTGACATGCAACTTATGTTTCATATGCTCTATAATCCTGAGAAGAGTTACTACTTTTGCCAGGTTCTTAAAATTAAATCCTAAGAAACACATTTATGTCTTAACTCATTATTGTGCTTATATCGTGTCATTGCTTTACCTCTCCAACAAGCTCAATCAAATTAAAATTAGGCAGCAGGCACTTCAAAGTATCTAAATTTTAATGTTTCTTTTAACACCTTTAAATAAGAGGTGCTTACTTATCGGAATTTCAATGCACAACTTGACATGTTCATGACATATGTATTCTGCATATTGCGTTGATACGAGAAAAATTGTGTCAGATGTTATGCCGGTTGCCACAATCTTTCTGTTATGAACAATTTCAGGTCGTGATTAATAATAGATTTGAGATCAGAAACATATTGAAGATGTCTCTTACAAAAAGAAGCAAGAAATTTCAAAATTTGTACTGTTACCAATAGTAAGGACCATCCTAAAATTCTAGTAGATGCATTAAGATGTATGGAAATTTTATGATAAGAAGTAAGGATGATCACGAATTGACGTCTAAACAAAAGTTTTGACAGACATATATTTCTTTTATGAAAAAAGATCAACGATATAGATATAGAAGAAAAGAAGAGGAAATTTGCTAGTTGTTACTTGCCTTAAATCAATGTCTTCTATTTTAATTATTGGATATAGAATTACAAAATTACAGAAATTTTATTTTTTTAACACTAGGTATTTAAATTCAATCGGTGTAAGTCACCATTTATTCTTTTGCATGAATCTATGCTGTTAATTAAGTTGCCTATGCTTTTTCATCCCAAATCTCCCGAGCAACGTAATCTGATTCCTGTTCATATGAACAAATGACAAATATATGATCTAGCAAGATTATAGAATTTGACTATACTTCATGATTTCCATGATCATATGCTCATCTTAATTTGGCATGGATGCTAAGAGACCCCAACTGCAACTATTGCCTGTCTAATTTTAGTTTTATAAACAGCATGCCATGACAGCTTGGTTACATTACATCAATGCTTTCATCCTGTTAATTTTTTGTCAATCATTTGGTAACTTGTTAATTGTGTCCCAGTTATTCTTTTTTATATGCTTTTCTCTCATCCTCAAATATATTGATGTAAATTTTCTTGTCCTCTCTTTTTCATGCTTGACCATGATTACTGTTTTCAGCCAGTTAGAACTGTATTATATTGTCATTCATCTTCTTTTATATTTGAATCAAAGTCATTTGGTTCCATGACATTGTAGTCAAAGGTCACTGATATGCACATTCTATACATACGCTTGCTCCCAGATTTCACCAAAAAAAGAGAACATACACACTCAACAGCTTAAACTTTACAATGTTTGAATGCATCAAATTCGACTGCTAATTCAAATGTGTTTAGCCACCGAAGCAATTTCTATACCAAACTGCCTTTGCGGAAGTATTTCTGAATATGTATTGACTGCATTCTGTCAGAAGGTAGAAACTGCTCTCATGATTAAGTCTCACTTCTTACTTAAAAATGTCCCAGTTCTTATGATTGAGCTTTCATGTGCATTTATAATGATGAAATTCATACATTAATGATTAATCAATAATGAATCGAAACTCATGGTTTAATCCATAATCCCCAGACGTCATGCTTAGACTTCTCATATTGCAGATATGGTCGCTATATGAACGTGGTGAGATGACGTACATTATAGACACTGATTTGGCTGATGATTTAGATGTTGATGAAGCATGCAAGTTCTTGAAGGTCGGGCTTTTATGCACACAGGACGCTGCAAAGCTGCGCCCTTCAATGTCCGATGTTGTCAGGATGCTGACCGGTGAAAAGGATGTTGACTTAGAGGAAATCACGAAGCCTGGTCTACTTGGTGATTTCTTGGACCTTAGAAGCCAGAAGAGAACTGATGACATCCATGTTCCCTCCCTCATATCCTCCGGTCATGATAGTTCACCATTGTTATCAGAAAATACTACACTTGCATCCATGACCTCTACATGAAGATCGGATTTAGGCTCAAATATCAGTATGCAGAATTAATTGCAAGGTACATAACTTCATGTATATTCCGTGAAACATTTTTTCATTTTTTTTTTGTGAGAAATTTTGTCTGTTTGTTTGCATCCTCGTATACAAATTTTTTTTTTGTTTTTTCTGTGAACATTCAGTTGGAGCCTAATAAATATTGATCTGGGTATTTGCTGGAGCTAAAAAAAAGACTTGAATCCAATCTTGATTAGTTTGAGCGGCAAGTTGGAAGTTAATGCTCGATTACTTTCTCAATTTATGAGAATATTTTTGCCGCACGCGAAGTTTTGTGATTTTAATGTGCATTGCATGGCCCAATTTGTACTTTATATATATTGCAGGTATGAAACTATCAAATTGGAAAACTCTTTGTTGAGTGAATCAATGAAGCCATCATGTGTCCATGTCTTGCCCAGTGTGTTGTTTGCATGAGTTGGACACCTTATTTACCATAATTCTTTTAATGTTCTGTTAAAAGTTGGGATTGGTGATGATTTTTCTACAACATGCTACCATGTTCTTGTCACTTGGAATAGCCTCCATATTAGACTTATTGTTAGACTAATTACCTTCAATAATTGCTGGAGAGGGACATCAGACCAACTTCTTTAATTTAGTTTGTTCAACATCTTCTGTCAAAACTGAGTGGATTCTTTATTCCTTCATTGTTTCCTTTTCCCCTCCAAAGTAATTTAAGATTTGAACCCAAAATCTTATATTACCCATATGGTCTGTTCAACCGATCCGCGCTACGGTTCTTTCCATTTTCGATTTTGTTCATTTTTTCTCTCTATTTCATCATTGTTATTTTTATCGGTCATTTGAGAAAATATTAAAGTTTTTTTATATCTTAAACTTTCATGTTTAATGGTTCAGAGGTATATGCGCCATTGAGACTTGGAATTTAGATTTCCCAACTGTTTTCTAGAGGTCTTCCTTTACAAAGCTTCTTTTTGGATATTCAAATTTTCTGAATCCTAGGAAGGATGGAAAGCTGATCATGACATGGCTAGATTTCGATCTTAGATTCTATATGCTCACAAATTTTATCTCCAGCCTCACTCCTCTTGCACTTTATCACGAGAGAGAGAGAGAGAGAGAGAATGCTTCATTACAACAGAAAGTTATGATGCAAAGACAGATTTCATCCACTTCTTCTGAACCATCTCGACAAATAAAATAAGCATACACCAGAGAGAACATTATAGTGCTCTCAGAGAGAACCTCTGCGGAGTGAAATGAATGAAATGATTCGTGTGTTTTAGAGAGAAAAATAAAGAGATAGACATATATTATATACAGAGAGAGGGAGAGAGAGAGAGAGAGAGAAGAGGCATGCTTGGCTCCTTGCACACCACCCACAGTCACCAATCACCCAAAGATTGGTGTCCATGTGTGGCATACAAGGAGCCAGGCACAACCATTTGTCACCTTCGTGCTTGCACCATGATCAGCTCTTCTTCCTTTGAGGGGACAACCCGATCTCATACAGGAAAAGAATCGACAACATCGTTCCTTCTCTTGCCGTTCTCTCACAATCATCGAAAGCCCATATAACTCTTCCACCCTACGGATCTCCTGAAAGAGAGATGATCATGAATGGGCAGCCATGGAAGAGGTGACACAGGATGATTCCAGATTAAAGGAGCACTTATATATATCACCCACAGGCAAGAGCTCAGTTGCTGTTCTCTGAACCCAGCTGCGGGAGTAGGTGTGGGTAGGGAAGGAGAAGAGGAAGAGTGGGAGAAAGCAAATGGCTGCTGGCTTTCCTCGCTTGCTCCCGGGGGGGGTAGGGATGTATCTCTTTTCCCCGTCTGCATATGGACTGAGTTTTGTCTTGAGCGCTTGGATTAACTGTGATTCTCTCAGACAACTTGACAAACAAGATGTCAATATTTGACAAGGTTGGCACCCAATGGACAAAGGTCTATGTGACCTGAAGCAGCCATTGACGTATTGCTCGCACTGTTTGACCCAATTGGACCACCTAACTTTCGAATCCAGGCAGCAAACATGGCTCTATGTTCTTCTCGAGTTTTTCTTTTTGGTCATTGAGAAGGTTAATAGAATAAGATAGTGTTCTTCACAGAGTCATTTTGGAGAAGTAAATTGCATGTAGTTTTTACTATGAACATGCAAATTCTTCAAAATTTTCACTGTTGTTTAGTCAGTAGCTTTGGGAATGCTTTAGGTTTCGATGAGAATGCCTATTTTGCAACATAGAGAACAGAATCATTTTGCTAAATCATGTCAGGATTTTGTTTCTAGGGTTGAAACTACAGAAACCTTTTTACTTGACAGAACTAACAGTTCAGGAAAGAACATATTGTTCTTGTTCTTCTTCTTCTGTCTTGCTGGAATGGCAGGATGTAGTTGACTTCTCATAGATTGATATACTGTAAGCTAATAGGAATTGTTAATGTTGACAAGGAATTTTTTGGGTTTTGACAGCCATCGCTGCAAACTGTTAATCAGTGACCCCAAACTGGAGTTTTCAGGCTTCAATGTATCTGAAGTATGTTGGAAGCAAGCAATCTTCTTACCTTCAGATTTGATGACACTTATAGAATATTAAAATTTGCAAGAAACACTGAAAAATATAAAGCTCAGAATAAAGAATGAATGATAGTAATATTAAGGAGACCATACTACAACATTTCCATCAAATAAATGGCTTATGAATTCTATGTTCAACTAGGGTGAAGATTGAACAAAATAAGCATATGTCTGATGTTGCAGATTCAAGATTTGGGAGAAGAAACTTTCTTTTGTTTAAGCTATGGGCTTGGACTAGTATTCATGGAAATTTTTCTAGACTTGAAATTCCACTGTTTGATTGGGGCTTCTATTGATTCTTGTCCAGAGATTAGCAAAAAAAGGGAAAAAAAAAGAAGTCATTCCTTCCTCTCAGTAAAAAAACCCTGAATATTCTGAAGAAAGTCATCTGGCTTTGTTGTGCTTAAGATTCTTTCTTTGACAAGCTTGTGAATGCATTGGTTCTTTATTCTAAGATGGATATGACCTATGAAGATAACTGAAAGAGTTAATGGGTGAGCACATTTGTTAAGTTGTTTCATTAATTGCAGTCTTTTTGGAGAAACCTTTTATTGATGATGGAAGTTATGGAGCTCTGCCATCCTATCATCAGATCAAGGTTTATTATGTCACAACATTGCAATATGCAGCGATGCCACAATCTTTGGGAACAAAAGCATGCTTATTACTACTAATGAGAGGCATCTATGATGGGTAAGTAAAGTGAAAGGAAGAAACAGAAAAACAAATGGAGTTGCAGAGAAAATGTGGGCAAACCTCCTTATAATTGGATTATTAGAGCCAGAATCAGAGTAGAATAAGAAATCTAGCTGTGGTGAATGCCCAGCTTGCTTATAACTTGGTTTCTTCAGAGGGCACAATGTTCCTTTCTTTTCCCAGATGTTAGCTTATTGCATTGTGATGTTGCAGAATATATGATTCTTAACATTCACATTGAAATTGGTATACAAAAGCTTTGAGGTTTCACTTAGCTTGAGAGCCACTCTGTTCTACTAACTTTCCATAGGATGTATTATAGATGCTATAAAACTTGGAAATTGGTGCTATCCTCTAAGCATGCTACCCTCTGATTCATGATCTTAACTTTGATGCTTTATATTTCAAGCATGCAAGCTAAAAATATTTCATGTTTCTCATGTAAATATTATTTCTCTTTCCCTTTTGAATCTATTTAGTTATATTTATAGACTGGTCTGGGTCTTCCAAGTCTTATTCTTGCAGCATGATCTTATGGTAAACTAAAGTGGGTGTATTCATCCTTGATGCAAGCATAAGAGAATATTCTTGGAGTTGTTATTGACATCAAATATATATGGCACAATAAAACTGCTAACACCCTCCTTTTCCTGGTTTCATGAATACATATTGGTCTCTGACCTCTGCTGGATTTTATTGTTTCTTGTCAGAGCTGATGAGTATTTATTTCACTGAGGTTAAATTTCTGTCACTGATGATGGCATGACAAGTATGACTAGCACTAGAACTGCTATGGTTCCTTTCTTTTTCTCTTGAATACTGATACTCTTGTGGATTTCTCATTTCTTGGATCATCAAATTGCCTTGCACATAAATATTTTTATGTTTTACATCAAAGTCAAGTCAAGGCAAATTGATTTGGCTCCAACAAAGACCTGACATCCCTTTGCACTTTCATTCCCCACCTGATTCATTGTTATCATTCACATGAGGCACACACTGTGAAGGATCTCACCCCAAACAAATACCATACAGTTGTTTGTGTGCCAGAGAAGCAGCACTGCAGTCATTCGAAAACAAGTTACATAGATTTTGTTCTCCTGATGAGAACACACGGTTGGTGACCAAGAATTAGCTGTATTTGCTTACCATAAATGTGTAGATCTGAAACCTGGTGGGTGTTGGCAGCATTGCTGTCAAGGATCTCAGTTTCTGCTACATGATTTAGGTATTCTACTGCTGAACACATCAACCTAAACATCACACGTTCCTAACAATCCAATTTACTGTAGTTAACTATAGGTGAAGTATGTGCATGTTTGTGTGTCATGAGAGGGCTTGTGGTTGCAGCTAAAAAGTGTTCCACATGTGGGACAAGCCATTGTCAGCGAAGAAGAAGCCCTCCGAGCTTCCCTGAGGCAGAGATGGAGGGAGGAAGTGGTTCAACAGAGTCTTGATGACCTTGTCATCACGGTCACAGGCACCCGAGTCTGGGAAGCCACCTATGGAGGAGGTCGGAGGAGCTGCAGCATCTTGCAGGGGCACCGAGCTCGGCGGGAGGTCGGAGAAGCAGGGCGCCTGCGCGTTGCTCTCCAGCCTCGCAGGGTCGAAGCTGATGAAAGGCTCCATGAGGGGAGGAAGGGAGGAAGCGTTTGCGTGGTCATGGCAGGAAGTCGTCATGGAGGTGGTGGCACCATATCTGCTCTTGTGGAGCACCCTGCACAAGACCCAATCTTCCTGCTCCGATGGAGAAGGACAGAGATAAAGATTGGTGAGGCACCGATCATTTACCGTGAGAAGCTGTAGGAGAGAAGAGAGCAGCGTACACGGAGAGGAGGGAAGCTTGGTGGATCACTGGATTCCATTCGGAACTCATGCATGACCCAGTCGGTCTTCTTCCCCTTGGGAGCTCGTCCATGGTAGAACACGAGCGTCTTCCTCATGCCCACCATCGCCCCCCGCCGCTTCACCTGCCGGTCCTTCCCGGTGGCCTTCCAGTATCCGGTCATGGTGGCGCGGTTGGTCCGCTGCCCCGTCGCGTACTTGCGATCCCGCAGGCTGTAGAAGTACCACACCTTG